TGTCAAACTGAAACTTGCAGTTTTTCACACGCCGCTTGCAAAGAATTGTAATCGCGTGGTACACAAATATGTCCTTTGCAATTGACAAAACTGTCACTGACAAAGCGCCTAAAAAAACGGTTGTTTCGCAGTTTATTGGGAACAATAGTATTCCTGTTTATGACTGACTTCAATTATTACTAACACAAAAGATCGTCCATGTATAAGCCCCTCCCCCCGTATATAAGCCCACCCCTTGTATAAGCCCATCAAAAGTCAATTACGAAAGAATATAGGCCCAGGGCTTATAGTTGGAGGTTTACGGTATTACTTTCTTAAGAGGTTTACGGTATTACTTTCTTTCTTTCTTTTCCCGAGAAAAACCAAGACTTTCAGCAGAGCGTTGACTGACTCTTTTCACATGAGTGCGGGAGCAGAGAGAATCGAGCCGACGATCTCAGAGGTGAACGGCACTTGCTAACGACTATACCCACAAACGCCCAACCAAAACAATAGACATTAGACAATAGACAATAGACAATAGACAATAGACAATAGACAATAGACAATAGACATGTAGGCATGTTAGACTAATTTTTTATCTAAGGCAAAAAAAAGTAAATTCCCGTAAAGAACTTAACTGCAAAATTTGGTTACGAAATGTTGTGAAATACGGAAAATATAGCCTTGCGAAGTTTGCATATTTTGTACATTTTTGAGCCGAAAATGATAACAATTTCCGCACGTAATACAAACATATACAAAATTGGCAAACTTTGCCAGACTATATTTCCAAGTTTTACAACATTTCGCAACCAAATTTTGCAATTTTACTAATTTCATTATATGTTCTTTTTAGCTGTGGTGTTTGATTCCCTTCTCTTTACTTAGATTAAAATTTAGTCCAACATGCAAGTTGTCCATTCCTTACTCGTGCACGATTTTTTCAATAAAGTTATCCCATCCATCTTCCCAGTCTATCTGGTTACGACGGTTGAACAACAGTGTGGCTGTGTGAGGTTTAGGTGTTCTGTAGCAACCCTTCTTGGCAAATGGCTCTACTGGGCACACTGGAAAATTGAAGAATATACTGGTGTCAATTGATATTGAGACCGTCGTCCTAGACACGGATAAACCACCAGGACGAATTATCCATCTGGGCCGGGGGGGGGGGGGTGTACGAAGGCCGGATACCGCTATCCACTGGATAGTGATTTTTTCAAGGTTTCCAAAATTGTTCCTTGATTGTTATGACGCACATTATAGCGTTCAGGGCAGTTTTTAACTATATAACTACTGGAGCATTTGCCCCAGTAGGCCTTTTGCTTGCCCCAGTAGTGAAGCAATATTTTCAGATGCCTGATGGACCCTTTTGATCATTAGTAAAGAGTCCGTGATCCTTGTTGAAAAAGCTGCATCTGCCTGCTTTCTTGTATCTTCTCACATTCTCGACATCCATGTTATAAAAGTCAGCACAGCATGATCTTTGTGTACCCGTAACTGTGTGGGGAAAAGGCCCTCATTGAGACTTAGCCCCACTAGTTGTAATTTCTTAAAAATGCCCTGATAGCGTTTTAAGCAACTAAGGCCAACAGTTCGCAAACGTTGGTCATCTAAATAAATACTTACAAGTGCTACATTTGGGCACTTCACAATTCTTGCCTTCCCAGTTAGGTGAACATTTACATTGATATCCACCATTGCCGTCATCCACACATTGCCCTCCATTCTGGCAGGGCTTGCTTGCACATGCACCTGGTCGGAAAAAGAAACTTTTATGAAACTTTCTCGGAAATTTGGGACCGCTGTTCTCAAAATGTACACTGGATAGCCAACTCGAGCGAGACTTGGGCCAAGTCTAACCTGAAATCGATAATAAGTGTACTGTATTTGAGTGTACTTACTAATTGGCTCGCACATATCTTTGACCAGTGAATTCTCAATGGTGTCCAGAGCGTTCATAGTGGTTTTAAAAGTATACTCAGGTTTGCTTGAAATTTCCTGAAGCTTTTTTATGAGCCGATCAACCTTTCGCCCCCTGCCAATCCCAACACAAAGTATCTTGACGCCTTTTTGTTTCATTTTCCGCGCCTCACGAACAGCTTTGCTGTGATCATGTGATTTTCCGTCAGAAACCAAAACCACTACATTAGGGACATCTTTTCTGTCATCCTTTCCCCAGAGTATCTGTCAAGATTTCAGAAAAGAATTGCGATTGGGTTTTATAGTTTAGGAGAAGGGGATTTAGAGTAAAGAGAGTTTGTTGGATATATATAGTACTTGTTAATATAGATTAGTTAATTTAGTGATAGAAGAGCCAATTCAATTTGGAATCGCTAATAAATCATTATTATTATTATATTAAAAGCGGGCAAAAATGTCTATTCTGACTATTCGCATCATTCTATGTATTGTTCGCATGCCAGTATAACTCTTTGTATTAATGCGTCTTACAAACGCTGTTTGACTCTGAAGTTTGACTCAAACAATCGGTCAGTCCGCCTTAAGAAACAGTGTTTCGTATGTGGGTTCGGAGCGCGTACGCTTCTCGAGTAATTAGTATCTTGCGACCATAGATATCTTATATACACTAGATAGCGCATCTCTTTTAGTAAAATTGAAGCCAAGAATATTTCAGCGGTTACCCCCATTTGAATAGATGGCGGCCATGTTGGAGTTTCCCACTCGCTAATAAACGCTTAAAAAACAACAATAACTTTGATCATTTGAATAGTTTGAAAATGTATTTGGAATAGGTTTAACTTAAATGTTAAATTCCCTGTTTAAGAAATAGAAAACATACGAGTCTTCTCATGTCATGGGAATACCCTGAGTCTGCAATCACGGCTTCAATTTTTGAATTGCAGAATAATTAGATGCACTATCTAGTGTATATAACTATAAGATATCTATGCTTGCGACACGTTCAATGTCCTTCACATGACTAGTTGATCGGATCCTACACTCAGGTGATGTGGTGATGTCACACCCAGCTTCTGAACCCATATCTGAACTTCACACTAACCCGAACTTTTCCAACGAAACTTCGGTGTGACCCACCACATCAACTGAGTGCAGTTTTCCGACCCTTTGCTACAAGATAGGTCGTGTATCTTTGGGACATGGTAGGATACGTGATTTTCTCCTAGATTGACACTTAAACGTTAAAGGATTGCCTTTACTGGACCTATGGGGATAGCAGTTTAGATATGGTAGAACTGGTAGAAGTATTCAATACAGATTGCGGTCCCCAAACATAAAGTTAGACATCGCTTTATATTAAGGGCATTCGTTCGGAATCATAAGCCTTGTCATTTATTCAAAAATAGTACTTGTTCAAGTGATGCTTTGAGAAAGATCCAGGACACAGCACTGTACTACCATGTTCGGTACACTCTGAATTAATGAATGAATAAGTAAAAATAATCATTACTTTTCTATTAGTGAATCGCATTGCCTTTCCAGTTCTCGTGCCTCCGCCACGGTATCTCATTCTTCTGACAGCTTTCCGCAGCTTTTTAGCATTAGTATACTTGGTGAGAGAAAACACTTTACGTGGTCTGTTGTTGTACTTCACTGCGGCAAAATGCGCTCCAAATGGGGCTACACTGAAGCGTGATATAACATGCCTGACAAATTTCTTAACCTTTCGCCAGTTTTTCCTGCCTATACTGCCAGATTCGTCCAGGACCATGACTATGTCCACCACTTTTCTGCATTTTTGTGCTATTAAAAAGAAGTTTCAATTCAGTTGTTTAAAGTCTTTGTACTGCTCTCTGTACTGCTATTTTCAGATTCTGAAGAAAGTCAAAGAGGAAACATTGTTTCTTAGCCACCATGTTTCCCAAAGGTGGACAAACCAGCAAACATTTTTTCTTAGACATGTTTCCCAAAGGTGCACAAACGAGGAAACATTGTTTCTTAGCCATGTTTCTCGAAGTTGCTTATTAAATTGATTTATTGCAACAAAACTGACTTAGGCTTTCCCAGGCATGAAGGCCAAGAGTTTGAAAACTAATAAAACTGCTGTTTGCGAGGAAATCACACTTGTGGCAACATCAACTGTTTCCCCTCAGTCAGGCTAGGCCTGCCCGCCCCGGTGTAATGCATTTTGTCATGATATTGATGTTGAGAATATTAATATCTAGTCACAGAAACTGAATGACAGATTGAAATTTGTTTTACTAAATCTAAACTCGCATATACAGGGGCGCCGGAAGCAATGTGAAGCGACCGTGGGGCAGCCATTTTTGCCAATGTTCTTTAAAATTTTGCTCTGCGAATACTCGATTACTTATAGCCAATAGAGTTGGACAAATTTCGACATTGACTGGAACGTACAATTTTAATCGTTGCTTCACACTAAAGACTAACATGCATTGTATTATAAAACAAATTTTTGTCCCTTACATAATTTTTTCCGCCCGCTACGGAATACATTCATATCTTATACTTACTTGGCGCTGCCAGTGTACTGCAGCAGGCATACAGTAGAACACAGGTCAAAACCACCAAACTTTGTTTCATATTGAAGATTTTTTCGCTGAATTCGAAATGATCGAGAGAATTTTGTTGCCGAGGTCACTCTGAGCGGTGTCTGAGCAAAATGAAAAATTGCTTCATCGCAAAAACTATTTCACTTGAGTCCAACACTATGACCACCAGTTGGCTTGGCACGGCGCCGGCATCGAATTTAACGTTTCCAGGAATAGTGTAACATTTAATTAAAATTGTGATAATATGACATAATCAGCGGCGTTTTCCCTCAGAACCAATTTTGTAATTCTTTTTAAACTGAAGAGGCAGGGGGTGGCACAACCTCTTAATGTTTTTATCTATGACATAAAATATATCTGTGTCTTTCAGATTATCATAAAACGTGTCTAAAATGCATGGAATAGCGTTTCCCAGACCCTAAAGATAGAAAAATTGCCGCATCGCAAAAAAATTTCACCTGAGTCCAACACTACAACCACCAGTTTTGAAACAAAACTGGCTTAGCACGACATCGAATTTAATGGTTTCAGGAATATTGTATAACACTTAAAGACCATGTAAAGTCCGTTCTGCGCACACGTTCTGAGCAAGCTTACATTCCAATGGTCGGGACCCGACCGTTGGAAACACCGCGGAAAAACGTCTGCGCATGCACCAAATTATGAAAATATGGTGGGGAATTTGAATATCAATTTCCAAAACAAAAACATGCTTATTAATTGGTCAAAAATTAGTAAAACAAACGAGAAAATATAGCAAATGGGTAGACTAG